AATGGAAATCTGGGAAGGTGGAAGGAACAGGCCTTCCTCTATTTCAGTGGTCTGAATGAACCAGATTAGGACTATGGGAAAAGGAGATTATTTGCTGTGTGCAGAAAGCAAAAGGACCATCGAGTATCTCCCCTGTAGGCTGCACCCTTTTGCTTCAGCGCCCACTGGAGAATCTTTGATATGTTTCTGGAAACATATCATGTATCACAGTATGTCTGTGCTGTTACCACTGGGGACTCAAGCAACTGAGGCAGGAGGAAGTAAAATTTGCAGTTGGTCAGCTGGTGACAATATTTTAATAGAATCATAGAATCATAAAATGTAGTCCAACCCTCTTACAATAAGCAGGGACATCTCACACTAGAACAGATTGCTCAAAGCCCCATCAAGCCTGACCTTCCTCTCCAGGGATGGGCCCCCCACCACCTCTCTAGCCAACCCATTCCATTGATCCACCATCCTCATATTAAAAAAATTTTCCTAATGTGCAACCTAAACTACCCTTTTCTAGCTTAAACCCATTACCCCTTGTCCTATTGTTACATGCCCTTGTGAACAGGTCCTCCCCAGCCTTCTTATAGGCCACTTTCAGGTATTGGAAGGTTGCTATAATTTCCCCCTGGAGTCATCTCTTCCTCAGGCTGAACAAACCCAGCTGCCTCAGCCTGTCTTCATAAGAGAGGTGCTCCAGCCCTCTGATCATTTTAACTGCCCTCCTCTGGACACACTCCAACAGGTCCACATCCTTCTTGTGTTGAGGACTCCAGAGCTGGACACAGTACTTCAGGTGAGGTTTCACCAGGGCAGAATAGAGGGGTAGAACCACCTTTCTTGATCTGCTGGCTACACTTCTTTTGATGCAGCCCAGGATGGGGTTGGCCTTCAGGGCTACAATTGCACATTGGTGGCTCGTGTCCAGCTTTTCATCCACTAGTAGCCCCAGGTCTTTTTATACAGGTCTACTCTCTAGTATGTCTTCCCCCAGCCTGTGTTTGTATCTCTGGTTGCCCTGGCCCACATGCAGGACCCTGCATTTGGCCTTGTTGAACTTCATGAGTTTCCCCTGGGCCCACTTCTCCATCTTATCCAGGTCCCTCTGGCATATCAACTGCACCTCCCAGCTTGGTGTCATCAGCAAACTTGCTGAGGGTGCTCTCAATGCCACTGTCAATATCATTAATTAAGATATGAAACAACACTGGTCCCAGTATGGACCCCTTAAGGGACACCACTTGTCACCATTTTCCATGTGGACCTGGAGCCACTGACCTCAACTCTCTGGGTGTTGCCATCCAGCCAATTCCTTATCCACTGAATGTCCATGTTGTGTGGGACCATGTAAAAGGCTTTGTAGAAGTCCAGATAGATGTCATCTGTAGGTCTTCCCTTTTCCACTGATGCAGTTATTTCATTGTAGAAAGCCACTAGGTTGGTCAGGCAGGATTTGCCCCAAGTAAAGCCATGCTGCCTGTCCTGAATCATCTCCCCATCCTCCGTGTGCCTGAGCATGTCTTCTAGGAGGATCTGTTAAAATCCCCCATCAGGATGAGAGCCTGTGAGCACATTTCCTCAAGCTGGAGTAAGGAGGCTTCATTGATTGGCTCCACTTGATCTGGCAGCCTGTAGTCAAATCCAACCACAAGACTCCCTTTGTTCTCCCGATCCCTAATTCCTACCCATAAGCTTTCAACCTGCTCATAGAACCACTAGGTTATACATGAACAGAGCTATAGGCACAGACATCCACAACACCTTCCCTTCAGTCTGTGCAGGTTGAAAATCGAGAATGAGTTTACAAAATCCTGTAACTGGTGGATTTACCACTGAGGTCAACAGTAATTCAGGGATCTCTGTGGTTCATTGTACAATGCATCTTGCATTTCTTTTATGTCCTCACTGCCTGTCCTTGCAGATGATTTCACCTGTTTCCTATTATCAGTGGTTTCAGCAAAATGAAATACTAAAATAGTAAAATACAGTAGAAGCAGTACCACCCATTTTAACATATTTTAACACTGCAGTTTTCAGCTTGTGGTTCACAGCCTACTAATAGGAAATCTGCCATAAGTGAATAGAAGGCAAGCAAATTGCCACAACCCTTCAGTGCACTGTCTAAGGACTTGCTCTTCCACTGGAAGAACATTCAGGAGGAATCAAAAAGAGTTTGAAAAGCACAGCTGTAACATAATACTATGTATATCCCTAGACATTTTCTAATGGTTACGGTGCTCCTGTGCTTGAGCTAGAGTTGTGGGAAATGCGTATTAACCAGTCTTTGCAAGTGCTTAAGCACCTGCCCTGATTAGAAAAGGCTTTTAAATATTACTTAAAGACATTACAGTCTTGCTGCTAATGGCCTTGAACACATTTGAAAATTGAGCTTCCGGTTATATTTTTAGGGAGGAAATGTCAGGAAAGAGAAATGAAAGGGGCTTCCAGGATTTTGCAAGTTTCAGACTGGGAGAAAAAATGGGCATTGCAGGCATGTGGGGATAAGAGAAGAAGCAGCTGTGTAACGCAGAGACGTAATTACACAGGATGCTTTGCTTGAGAGAGGACAACTATAAGATCTTTGTTCTCTATATTAGGTATGTCCTTCAAAGCCAGAGAGAGAGTCCCCAGTACTGGATGTTATGCAATGAGTTTTCGAGGTGTACTGGTAAAGTGCATGTTTTACACCTCAAAGAGCTGATTTGTACAGAAGAAGGCAATTCACTACTGTCTAAAGACAAAATAGGTCTTTGTTAAATCTTTCTGGAAAATGAAGGCTTGTCTGTAAAAAGAGAAATGGAAGGTTCCACTGTCTGATACTTGGTATCTGGGAGCAGAAACAGGACAGGGTGCTACAGAAAAAGAAGATATTTCCATTAGAAGAATATTACCTTGGAGCATTAGATTTTATTCCTGTAACTGTCATGAAATTAGAAGTCACATCAACCAGACCGGAACTGAACCACAATCTGTATCCTATGCTATGGGAAATATTGACATTTTTCATTTCATTTCCCAGATTCAAAATGTGAAGAAATAAAAAAGGGGAAACAAAAAGCCAATAAACAAACAAAAAACTCCACCAAGCCACACAGCATTAAATGTTTCTAGAAATTATTATTTCAAAATGCAAAATACTTTATGTTTGTTTATGGAGAGCTTTACAAATAGATTTATCCCGTTTTAACTGAGTAGCTTTTGAATTTGCTTTGAATTACAACTGTGGCCACTAGTAGTGCCATCTTACTGTTAGTAGCTATGGCTGAGGTATGAAATATCAACATTTACCCCAGCATTTACCCCAGACTGACAGAGAGATGTCCCTGGCTGGACTGTCCCTCTGCCTGTGACTTTCTATGTGACACCATTAGAGAGGAAACAACTTGCTTCAATGAAGGACTTATTCTGGAAAGGAAATCTGGCCCATAGGTTTGATAAATATAGGACTGATGTTAAATTTACATCTAATAATTAAGCAGCTAAAGGCAGGTGAGATGAAATTCCTCCCTGTGACACAGTCCCAGCAAGGGAATTTATTTACAACACTTGTGAACAAACTGAGGCTCAAAAGCCAAAGGCCAGTAAGCACTGGTCACAGGGAATAACACAGTTCTCTAGCTTTTGGGACTGGGTGTAGCTTGGACGGAATTGGTGAGACTTCACAGGCTTAGCTTCTCACCCCTGTATGAAGTTGCCTTTACTTTTTAAAACATGATTGTCATTGCTGCAAAACATAAAAGTAAATCACAATGTGCAAGAACAATCTCACTGCATTAGCACAGTTTTATTTTCCAGGCTTAATACATTTTGCAAGAAGATCTTAATAATTTACCAAGGAATGGCATGTAAGAATCATTTCTCTGTGAAAGTAATGAATCAGTATCTAAGGGGATTCCCTTTCTTCAAAACAAGTTAGAGAAGAAAGACACTTACTGTAAACTGTATTTGGCAACCTCCCATGATATAGTCTAAGAAAGAATGCATCTTGTGGATCTGCAGACAAGACAGCAAGACATTCAAATTAGCTGTGTACTACTGGAACATCAAAGAACTGCCTGAAAAAAGTAAATTGGAAGGAGGGAAGAGACCAACTGAAAATAAGGTAAACACAGAAAGCATTAAATACAGTTTGAGACAGAAGCAAAAATGTAAACAGAGAAAATACCAACATTCTAAAACTACAGAAAGGAAAATTCTCATAAAAAGTAGAACCAAGCTCTGCTCCTCCTCAGTTGGAAGTCAGTGGAAATTTTGCTATTGGTTTATGAGGAACAAGAGCAATTTAGTAGAAATTATGGAAACACTGGAAGGGAAACCACACAAAAGGTCAATTGGCAAGCCAGTAGGTGTAAGAGTTTAGTACCTCCTACTCCCCTGTACAACAGCAGAGATGGGGCAAGAGAAATGAAGGAGGAGAGTTGGGGACAGTCAGATTACTTTTGGATTCAAGTCCTTGTATTTCCTTTTTGTAGAGAATCAGTTTCCATCGCTATTCTACAGGCAGTTCAACTTCATTGTATACGTTTCCAATTACCATTAAAATATATCACTGAGAGCTTAGTAAAGACACAGCCAAAGAGCAAAACACATATTTACCTTGCACTGGTTAAGGATGACGATGCCTGAGTTCTTGTAATTCTTCTTCTTGGCTTTGTACTTGGGGTTAATGCATTCCCATTGTACCTGTGAAAAATAGCTGTTACTGCTTGAAGGAAAATTTATGTACAAATGGAATAGTTAACAAAAAAAGGCACTGTTTGATTTCCACAGTTGACTAAATCCTATAAAATAATTCAGCACACAGAAGAAAAAATGAAAATTCTTAACTATGCAGAGAATGTTCTTAGTAGAAAAAGGCCCTGGGCAAACATCTGCCTTTGAACACGTTCAAAGCACTTAGAGAGATATCCAGATTTGTGTGTTATTGTCGCCCAGTCTTGCAGGTTCAAGCGTTACTTAAGCAAGACTGAGGATATTTTGAGAACATTTAAGAGCAGAGAAAAAGAGGGAACTTCATACAAATGAAAATACTGATGTGTTGTATTAACTGCAAAACTGCTCCTGCAGTACCACTGGTGCTTTGCATTAAACTCACAACTGGAGAAATTCTGACCAGAGATCATCTCACTCTCTCTGGAAAGAGGGCAATAATTTCTCCTTTAAGTCTGATAGCAAACTAAAAAGTTAAGAAAATCACTAAAATGTGTATGAAGATGCAGTTAATAAATTACTGATGCAGTTGAAAATTAACAATATATTAAACCCCTTTTTTTGAGAATGTTCTGATAAGTTTTATTTAAAAATATTCAATTTTACAGAAAAAGAATCCTAACTTGTTACTGACATAGATTGTCTTGTTCATATCATAACATCTCCCAGTCCTACTGATTTCCATTTCAAATGTTCTGCCCTCCTCTAGTTTCAGGTAGATTGATAAGGTCAAGCTTTCAGACCCTGACCTCTCATGTCTTCTACAATTTTATTCATGCCTCTGTTGCAGGAGTAAAATGTATGTTTGTACATGCAAGTATCTATTGGCATTTATAAATCCATATTTGTATCTGTAATGCGCTATTAAACTATTTTCTTTCAGGGAGGTGTTTTCAAGTCCTGAGAGAAAACATGTGATATTGGGTACCATAAAGAATATATCCGCAAAGGGAATTAGGATGACCTCTTACATAAAAATCCCTATTACGACTTTTTAAAATTAAACATATCTCTTGAGTGTTACAATACTTTGCCTATAGTTAAAACCTTAATAAGTGTTACAATACTTTGTCTATAGCAAAGACATTCATATAGGATCCATCTGAGCAAAATGTTTGAGCCCATAGAACTATTTTTACCTTATGAATAGCCTCAGCAATTTCATTAAACTACAAACCATTGCCTAACAGCAATTATTTGGATGTCTCTGAAGTATTTAAAACTTCGAGCTTTTGTTAAATGGCAAAAAAGGGAAGGCAAAACATATGGCTTTGGAGAAATATGAGACCTTTTCTGCACAAGGGAGGAGGAGTATCTTCATCTCTGTGTTACTGCAGACAAGTGACAGAGTGAATAATGGAAAAAGACAAAAAAAAAAATGTTTCAACTGCAGGAAGCACATCTGCTTGCTCTCCCAGTTAGCCTACAGCTCAATTATCTGTCTTGTGAAATGAATTTTCCAACTGAGAAGACAGGCAGGCACAGGCCCACATGTTCAGGGAAACCCTCCATAAACATTTTTTCTCTACTCGAGAGAAGCAGACAGGCTTAAGAAATATATGCTATTCTCCCCAAGTAAAGGGAGAGCTTTTTGTCACAACACTAGAGCACAATAAGCTCATATTTGGAAAAGCAATCTGACAGCGAGGCTAAAGCACTGCCCACTCACATCTTGAGACACTGCTGTGTGGCAAAATGGTTTAGCATACAGTTGTCTCCAACTTACTGGAAGCATTCCTACAGAGATATCGGCCTGTCTGTATATTATAAAGAAACTGTAAGATATCAAATAGAGAGAAAAAACAGGACTCAGGATTTTGTGTTCCTCCCTTTGACACCGAATTACACTGGAGGTATCTTACTGCTTTCCCCTGAACATATAAGGGCCACTTCCTTAATTTTATCATCCTCCAACAGGAACACTTGTCAATGTTTATGTTTAAACAAGGCCTGACCTGTATGAATCCTTACACTATGCACCTAATTCCTCACCTCAGGAAAAGGATTATTTAAGCCTGATGAACATTATGTTAATATAATTGGTTTCTGGAAGAAGTTTACACTATATAAGGACTAAAGAAGCATTAAATAACACTTCAGGGGACAAAATTCTATGCCTGTAGCCAGTCTCTCAGCTTGTCTGCGACAACTGTAAAACACAGCTAGAATGTTCACCTACCTTTGCAATGCATTTTGAGATGTATGGATAGCAATTGTCAGCAACTATCTAAAGCTCATTAACATATTCTGCATGCAAGTCACTAACATGTCACTGGCTGATGTGGTTAATAAAGCAAAGAGCAGACCAGCAAATTCCTAGAAAGTAGGAAAAGAGAAAGAAGAACAATTTTACACCTATCAATTATGTTGATTTGATAGTATAAAGAGGGGAAGGAAGGCAACAGGAGAGGAGACGAGAGTAAGTCCTTTCCTAATTCCCAGGCTTATCCAGTTCTGACCTTGGCAATTCCCACAGTTTGAGCAGAAAATGAGAAAAGCATCATTTGAAGGAATTCCCTGTACAGGCCTTGTCACACCTCCAGCTCTTCTAAAGGGAACAGAGTTCAGAATACAGCTCTGGGCAGGCAAGTAAAAATGAGAAACAATTTTCAAGTATTTTGCTTACTTTGTGAGGCCAAGCTCAATTTTCAGTCTGTTCCTACATTCCCAGCATTGATTTGGTATCTGACATTGTTTTTTGTCCATTAATTTTTGCCTCTTAAATTAACCTTTCAGTTGAGAGAAAACTAATGCAAGAGTCTGCAATCTGACACTAGTGGTAAACATTATGAAGTTTGGATTGATCATTATGAAAATCACTTGACATTTCCTCCCAACTCCTGGCAGCTCTGGGCTATGCAAGCTCTTTTCCTATCAAACAGTATAGTGAATCTGAAACAGAAATCAACCTGTTTTTAAATATCTCCTGATAAATTAAGTACTGTTGCAAATGTTGGTAATTAAACCCCAGACTATATTGCTTTGGCGTTTCTTTCATATCCTGAAACTAAAACCAGCATGTGGAGAATTTCTAAATGTAAAACAGACTCCATGCAGTTATTCTTCAATTCAAGTCAGCGAACCAATGCTGACACTAATGCTAATCCTCTTGTAGCTGTAAAGAGGAGAGCCAGATCCCTCAATGGGTGATGTTACTCTCTGCAGTGAAGAATGCTGCCTTCCCAAACATCCTCATCCCTTCTCTTACCAAATCTTCAGAAGAGAAGAGCAAGCAGTACAAGAAGCCATGCCACACACCAGCAAAGGGAAGCAGAGGTGACCAAGTGTAGGGA